GTAGCTCCTGTGAGTGGCTGGAGCCAGCCAGGCTGAGGGGGGAGAGAAGGGCTCTGTGCTTCCTGATGACTTGATTAATTAAGAGTCAAAACAACTACAGGTGTCCACTGCAACTTTGAAACCCCAGGGCAGGGTAACATTGAAAACTGCAGCACAACAAACTGCCCACGGATATATATCCTCTTTTTTTCTACCTACTTTTTTTTGCTAACCCTTAAGAAGAGAATGCAGAGCTCTTGCATTTATCTGGGATTAATAAATTGAAGTTTTTGTGAATCAAATGAGAACAGGCTCCCCAAGTAAAGACATCTGGTAGGACACTTTACAAGCAACACTCCTTTGCTTCAGCTCATAGGCTCTGTTTTAAGCTTCTGTTGTGGGCTATATTTTGTACCAAGTACATAGGGCACCTTGTAGACAGCAGGAATGTCATTAACGTATTTATTTCAGAAACTTGTATATGCCAGAATTGCAGAAAGTCACCCTTATCCACTATAAATAAATAAAGCATCACAAAAGCAGCCCTTGGTTATCACTATTTAATTCTTGTGATTATTGAATACAGCCATTATTTCCTAGGAAAAGAATTGTTTACTTCCCCAGTTAGTAGTATTATGCTTTGATATTGTTAGTAACCTGAAAACTGATAATGGAGAAACAAGAAGCACGCTCAAAATTATATAGTTTAATAAGTGTTTAAGATTCTGTGTCTGCTAATAGGATAAATGATGGAATTAGATAATTTCCTTTGAGAAGAAAGATAAAGACTTGGCCAAGAGAAGAAAATTTGGGGTCTTATGAGATACCAACAAAATGCTGATTGTGAGCCAAACAAACTACGTGGCTCTTGTCAGGAGGATTTGCTTTTAGCTGAGGACATGCTTAAGATTAGTCTGGTGAAGTACTGAAATGTCTGTCAAGGTTGATGCAGGTACTTCAAGTGTGACCAAATCCTACCACCTCTCTGTACAGGCTTCAGGAAGTTCCTGTTCAGAAAGTGGAATGTTTTTACTAGCACAACTATACCGCAAACTAAACCTTAGAATTACTTATCTGTTACTGAGCAATGTTTTTGTCACAGTAGAGACATTGAGCTCTGTAAAAAAAAAAAAAAAAAGGAGCTTCTGATCCAAATTAGATGTTATTTGGGTGAACTTTGTAAAAGATTGGATAGGAGATAAATGGGTATTAGGGGAGAGGAGGGAAGGGATTGAACCGAGTTGATCATCATTTCATTTGATAAGTTTCTTGAAGAATTTGGGGAGAGAACAAAAGCAAGAATTCTCTTGAAAATGTATCTGAGTAAAAGACAGAGAATTAAGTAGGCCTCAATCTTTTAAAAATAATTTTTAATTAATTTTTTCTTTGCCTTATTATTAATATTAATGATAAAATGGAATTGAAATGATTGGAGATTGTTTTGTTTGGGGAGGTGTTTTTTGTATTTATGTGTGAGAAGGGAGTGTTTTATCTCATTTTGTTCACTTTACTGGTGGGTAACTTATTTTTTGAGGTAGACAGAAAAGCAGATATGAAGGGGAAATCTTAGGAAGCTGAGGCACTTCACCTGTGGAAGGAGGGATAGATTTTTCCATAAAAAATTGTGAAGGTCTAATTAAGGGTTACCTTTAGTCATATGAATATCTTGTTAGTTCTGCTTTGTTATTTGTATAAGCAGCTTAGATGTGATTTTTGTCTTGATAAGTTACAGTCTGGGAGAGCAAGGAGGAAAGACATCAGTGAAATCAGCTTTAGAAAGCTGGTTGAAAGAATTGCCTGGAGGAGGGATTTAAGTAACTGCAGAGAGAAAAGGATTTCAAAAGGCAGCAAAGTCAGAGCTATTTGAAGCAGAGTAGATGATGTTACCAGCTTCTGTGCTAGGCATCAGGCACCAACACATAGTTCAAGCGCTGAGATTACAAATCATGGGGCTTCAGTGCAGCCCTTTTCCAGGGTTTGTGTATGAGATGGGATGTGATGGCATGGGAGTAGAAGAGTGCCTGTCTCAGGAGAGGGGCAGCTTTTGGCATCTAGACCTTGAATTATCTGGTAGTACCCATAAGAACTGTTTTGATATTATGTTAAGTTCAGGTCTTCAAAAGGAATAAAATAATCCTCTGCTGGAGAAAGGAAAACCGGAATTTTGGGAGATATAGTGGGTTTCTAGAATGGAATGTATTGTTCACAGCCTCGGTCCCCCATCCTCACTGCACTGACACCCCAACTCCCATGTCTTTTCAGTATTCAGTGTTGCCAGATTCCTTTTGATTGTATCCTGTTGTAGTAAGGTGCTTGGTGTGCAATTTCAACTCCAGGCATTTCGTGGTAGCTGACTGCCAAGTTAGTCTGTTAGGTCACTTTGTTCTCATAGTCTTTCTGATGTATTCAGTGTCTTGACAAATTTTCTTGGCAAGAGCTTTATAAAATGATACCATACTGTGCATAACTTAACTCATCATTATACTTCATGACATCTTCCACCATACAAGTCCTGAAGTCCATTGCTAAGCTCAGAAAAAGAAACTAGGGCAACTCCAATACTTGAATGACTTTTGCAGGGAACAATAAGTTGTAGGAAAGCACTGATTTTTGTAAGGAGTCGCTTTTGTCTCTTGTCTTTTTTAAAATGGGATTGAAAACAGCAGCATTAGTTAGGGACTGACTATTGATTAGCTCCTGATCTGATAAAACTATGCTTTCTGTGCTACTGCAGTATTTTAATCATGTTTGTGGCATTTCAGACTGAATGGGTGTTGGTCAGCTGATTTAAATGCTTTACTATTCACGATTTTGGGTGGGGTGTGTGTGTATGTGTGTCCATCTCCCTCCCCTGCCCCTATGTTTGAATATATGCTTCTGCTTTTCCTAATGTCAAGAAAATGTGAGTATTTGGACTGGAAGCTTATCTCAGTATTTGATCTCCAATTGCCCAAAGGTTAAGCACTACAGGGCGTGAGTGGTTAAATTGCTCACAAGTGCCTTGCTTCTAAAAGCTCCTTCATCTCTGCTCTCTGTGTGTTTTATAAAGTAATTTTATCCACAGTTAGTGTTTATTTGCAAGAAATACTTGTAAATGACTGGTGGTATTGTGCATAGATAGAGTGCAGTGTGTGACATTTAGCACTGTAAGGAAAACTTTCCATCTCTGAAAGTAGTTAATTATAGTGGATGTATGTTTTCTTAGAAAAAAGAGACTGTTTTTTCTAATCAGAGGCAGAAACATTCGTGTGTCACAGTAGCATATTGCTCCTCCAAAGTCAAGAGAATCTATTACCTTTAAGCAAGGCTGACACAGAATGGACATTTCCACAAGAGCAGGCAAGCTGTGGCAGAGTCCCCTGCAAGCCTTCCTTTGGTATTTGATTTCTTTTCATTTCAACAACCTTTAGCAAGTATTTTCCTATTGTGTAAACTTTTACTGTAACGAAAATGTTAGAGATCAAGAAGTCAGTTATATCTTGAACTTGCCATCAGGATTATGATGTGCCTTCAAGCTCTTTTAGTTTCTGGGGAGGCAGCAGTTGTTTTTAAAGACATTGCGTGCCTGATGTGAAACTGTTTGTCCAGTAGTGGAAATACTGTCTCTGAATATTGGTCAACTTGTTGACTCAAAAGTGGTAGTAGAGAGGAATGGGTAGATAGTGTTTGTGGAAGAAGACATGCTTACATCAAAGTGAGAGTGTCTTTGCTTGGTTGGAACAAGATGTTGTCTCAGCTTGCACAGGTTTTCCCAAAGTGAAGCCAGGACTGTCAAAGCACATGTCAAACTGAAGCAAAACTGGTCAGTTTGTGGGGAGATTCTCATGTAGAAAGCGGAAAACGTGTATGAGCTTGACTCCTCTGGGATGGATGACAGTAACCACGATGTTTTGGATAATGTAGAGTTCTGATTAGGGTTTTAAACTGTTGTTAGTGGAATAGCTGTTATTTCAGCCTGACTAAAACAAGGAAGTTGTGGTGTAAGTCTCAGAATACTTTTGGCTGTTCAAAGCTTGTACGGAGCTCTTAGTGCTGGTTTCTGCATGCCTGCAGCTCTTAGTGCAGATCTTCTGCTGTCTACGCTGCAGGTGGGACAGATGGTTTGAGGTGGACTTTCCGTGGTAGGGGGTTATGCTGTGCAGTACTAGATGGGTCTCGTTAGCCCTGTAAGGCAATCCATCTAAGAGAAGGTCACTCTAAACAAACCTACGTCCTGAGACCCTCACTGCCACTGTCCAAGCTTGCTCGGCCCCGGCAGATGAACCTCAGGATTAAAGGGTGGGCTCAGTTCAGCGCACGCTGCGTCTCACCTAAAAAATCCACTGCGCAGGCTCGAAGGGTTAATGACCTTTCCCAAATCTTCGCTCACAAAGACTGGCCATACACACTAGATGGGTGTATTTAGTATACACCACTGTGTTGCTGTGGTACAAGCAAGCTTGACTAGCCTGTTGGAATATAAGGCAAAGTCTTTCCTTTCTATTTCTGTCATAGCATTTCTAATATATGCCATTTGAACAGACTGCCTTTAGTGGTAACAGCTTTGTAGATTTATAACAGGTATTTTGTTTGTGCAAGACTTGGAACTTGACAGCCAGCAGTTTCATTATTCATAGCAGGGAGGCTTGCAGGTAGGAAAGCAACTGCAGATCTCATATTTCAACTGGGAGTCATACTGTTATCAACTTTGGCCATTACGTAGTCCCTTTAAAGGACTGTATGGCATGCCCAAGGGTAAAATATGCTCATGATGCCGTTGGTTCTTATTCATGTAGTTCTACAGAATATGCTTGTTTTGTCATGTGTAGGTGCATGCAAACAAGCAAGTATGCATTTGTGTATGTATGCATTTGTGTATGTATGTATATGTGTAAGTCAGACAGGTATTTTAATTCATAGTACTTGCAATATTGCTAGATTCTGGTTCCATACATCTTGAGTCACATATGAGATACAGTTGGAGGCTTCTGTGCTTTGCTAACTTGGGCAATGTTTTCTTTTTTTGTTTTGTTTTTTCTTAGAGTAATAAATGCAGGGAAGAGCACGCACAATGAAGATCAAGCCAGCTGTGAAGTCCTCTTTGTCAAGAAAAAAGCTGGAGGCAGTAATTCTACACCAAACAAGAACTCTTCAGCAAAACGGAGGTCATCACTGCCCAATGGAGAAGGTCTCCAGCTGAAAGACAATTCAGTAAGCAGACTTCTGTATCTTGTCAGTGGAGAGGTACAAAATAAATATAAAAGGATGTGGCAATATGGCACTAAAAGATGTTTACTGAAAATTTCACATCTTTTCAGTTACCTCTTATTGATTATCTCCGCTTAAATGCAGAACACTTCACTATATTTTTCTTAGCTCTACTACTTGATTTTTGATTTGTTTTAGCATTGAAAAATGCTCCTTGCATCTAAGATGGTTTAGTTTAAAGATGAGCAAGGATTGGTCAACTCCCTGGATTTTCCTTTTTGTTTCATTTCTGAAATATAATCTTGAAAAATTTTAAGATGATCAGAGGGCTGGAGCACCTCCCTTGCGAAGACAGGCTGAGAGCTGGGTTTGTTCAGCCTGGAGGGGAAGGAAAGCCTCCAGGGACACCTTAGAGCAGCCTTCCAGTACCTAAAGAGAGCTGGAGAGGGACTTTTTACAAGGACCTGTAGTGAAAGGACAAGGGGTAATGGCTTCAAATTGACAGAGGGTTTATGTTAGATATGAGGAAGCAATTCTATGTTGTGAGGGTGGTGAGGCATAGGATCATGTTGCTCAGAGAAGTTTGGCCAGGTTGGATGGGGCTTTGAGCAACATAGTCTAGTGGAAGGCGCCACTGCCCATGGCAGAGAGGTTAGAACTAGATAATCTTTAAGGTCTCTTTCAACCCAAACCATTCTATGATTCTCTAATATACACAGATGCCTCATGGTGCCACAACCAGAGGTCAACCTCAATCTGCTCTTTCTAAGGTTCTGCACTGTCTTGTAGGCACATTTGCAGTACCTGGAGCTCTGTGGACACTACATTAGCTGCTGTTTGGACTGAAGCTACTCAGGGCTCAGATAAAGACCTATATGAATCATAGAGACTGTTAAAATGTGTTAGATCTAAGCCACTGTAGATTAAACCACATCTTCACCCAGTGTTAGACAGATACCTGCCTTCTTTAATTTTATGAACTACTAAAGCAGGAGATTCTTTTGGTTTGTGCAGGTAGGGTAAGGTCATCCATAACACAAAATTCAGTGATTTTTGCAGACGATAGCTTCTCATTTTTGTGGATTTCTATTTTCAAGTATATATTTGCACACTCCTGAATAAAGAGTTGTGCCTGGAACTTGCTGGGACTATGAGTTCTACGTACAGTCATGCAAAGCAAAACAGAATTTGTTTTAATAATCTGTTTTAAAAAGTCTTTCCTAGTAAGTTCATGCAACTGTCTGCAGTTGGCTCATGCATATGCTTGGTTCCAGGAGTGTATTTAACTTCTGTATGCATTAATGTTTAATGAAGCAAGCATTTGGCCACAGTACTTGTTCGTGTACATAAAACACAGCAAGATAAGAAACCAGTGTCCTTGGTCCAGGTGATGGGTTTGTTTGACACAAAGGAAATTGCTGTGCCATGCACACAGGCACACTGCAAAGACCCCTATGCACACACAGGCCTGGATAGACACATCTTGATGCTGTACAGAGATACTAGTGTTGGTCTCACACCACATTTAAGTTCTAGACCCACCATGTGAGACACCTGGTCGGGGCCTCTGTATCTAGGATATGGGTGAATGTACCTTGTGTGTATGTTGTGCTGAATTTGGCTGTGTTTTCATATTTGGGGGGGCATGCATTGGACATAAAAAGCTTTGTAGCATTATTTCACAAAGCCCAATTAACTTCCAGTATCAAAAGATTCTCAGGAGCAAAAGCCACGCACTGCATGATCAATCATCTTCCTCAGAAGGAACTTTTTTCCAAACATCACATAGTTAATAAGTCTAGATTGCATTAAAAATACAGGGATCTAAAACTGTTTCATTATTGGAAAGGCATCTTAACAAGCCTTGTTAAGATCCATTGTTACAGTTGTCATGCTTTTATGGTATTGTAATGATGGGGTCAATAAACTGAATGTTTTTGAAAGCTGTTCTTTTTATCCATTTGAAATTTAATGCCAACCTCATTAAATATCTAGTTACCCAGTGTTTATGAGAAGTATCTAATGAAATTTACTGATTTTTCTTCCTCTCTTCACTAGTGTATTTCCTACTTCGATTTTGTATCTTTCATCTTGATGTTGGAATAAACAGTCACTCCCTTTCAGATTTCTTGAAAGAGATATATTTATTTCAGATCTTCCATTCTTGATTCTATTTCTTACATATTTTGATCAGAACTTAGCATAAAGTCTGAAGTCAGGAGCCAGCTGATTCATATAATATAGTATACTGTTTTCTAGTTCCTTGTTATATTGTTCTTTATATGTTCTTATCTATAGATTTACTTCTGTAGTCTACGTGGCACTGGAATGAGTGCTATAGCACTCATTATTTAGCTGTATAAAACCTATTCTACCATGTTATTAGACCACAGCTTGTGAATTTAAATCTGTAATATATTTTCCCAAAACAGGCAGCATATTTCTTGAGAAAGTTTTCTCCTAGAGGGCAGTCTTACATTAGCAATTAGTAGCATTTTTTCATTGCTACATCTTTTGTTGGTTGAATATATCTAAAAAGGAAAAAACCCGCACATTTTTATAATGTGTCATATTTTTGTTTTCATATCTTTATACTGTGAGGTATAATATTGTGTTTTGCCCTCTCATAGCGTTGTTAGCAAATATCTTTTAAGGAGTGTATGAGTTTGGTGTTATATGATTCATAATCTGAATATAGAAATACCAGCTTGAGACTCTACAGTGAATGATAGAATATTGTCCCATTAAGTATTTAGTAAGAAAGACAGAGGCTGAATACTGTAAATGCCTTAGAGGAAAATCCCACCGTAAAACACAATCTGAAATTGTCTGTGAGGTGGAGCACCTTACAGAATTACTGAAGAGAAAGGAATAAGGGAAGCACTTTATTGCACGAAAAGATTTCTTCTATTCTTGTTTACTTTTTTAAAGTGTGGAGCATATGGGAAATAGGCACTGGAACTTAATGGTCTCTTCACTTAAGAGAGTCCTTTTCATCATCCTCAGATTTTTCTTTTTTTTTCCACAGAAGGTGTTGTGGAGAAGGCCATGTCATCTTTGTTTTATCCTACTTTTTGGGAAGTTTGTCAAACTTAAAGGACAGCTGCATTTGCGATTGTGTGATTATTGTTGTTTAATGTTAACCCCATCAATCCAGCCCAGCACTTTGGCAAGGCAGCACAAGGGAGTCAGAGATCCATATGTTGTCCACTCAAGCTGGGTGCTGCTATCACGGCCTTGACTCTGTGGGTGGACTCTGCAGAGCTTCTGTAAGTGGGAAGGAGGAGGTGGCAGGCCAGAAATGTGGAGATGGAGCCCTGACACACTCACAAATCCAAGGAAGCCTGTTAAATAGCATAAACGTGTTTTTGTTTTTGAAAGAGTGGGTAATAAACTGAGCAGAACAGTGAAAGGAAAGACTCTGCAAATTCAACACTAAGTTAATTCTCTCCCCTTCCACCCACCCTACTCCACTACTGCTTGATTAATCATGTTCGCTATCTGTCCCCATTCAAGGGCATTCATGTTAAATTGCACAGCTTTTTCACTGGTACTATTTTTAAATGCCTTTAACTATGGAATACCTCAATGATGAATACTGAAAAACCATCAGCAAGTGAAATGGGAATCCTGTGCCAGGATACTGTTGTAGTGACAGGCTGCAGGACTTAATGTGATGCATTATTAATTGTCATTGTAATGCGAGGATACATGATTATTAATTCTGCAGGTTTTTTGCACAAAGATGGTACAGTGTATTTGTTTTCTGTGACACAGGGCTGGTAGCCTACCATAGGCAGCTGAACATATAATCAGTAACACGAGGAGGCTTTTCTCTGAGGATTGGGGTGGCAGTTGCTGGCCCACTTCAGATTTTATGACAGCTAAGGATGTCCTTTAATGCATTTTGTACATGTAGTTCATATCTGGAACAGGGTAGGTTATAGTTTTCAGAATAAACCTTTAGTGGCAACATGATTTTATTTGTCTGTTTGGAATTAGCTTCATAACAAAAATCTGATGGTTTGCAATGTAGGACTACTGTCTAGCTTACCTGAAAAGCTCATCCCAAATTGACTACTATGTATTGCTAAGGTTTTCTTCCTATAATTGAACTCCAATTATGTGTGTAAATATATGCATTTTCTTTTATGATTTCTCATCTGTTGCTTGACTCAAAACTTTGCATGTCTTAATTGCATTTTACAATTTCAAAACCCAGGAGACTGCTGAGCCTTCCTGAAAGCTAGGTCAGCAGTTGAGAAGCCTGATGCTTATTAAATTTCCTGGTACATTCTGGAGATGAATTGTAAGGTCAGTGCAGTGAAGGATCTGTGTTCTCTTCATGTTTCTGGTAGCTATTCAGCTTGCTGCTAAATTAGAATCTTTTGAATGAAAATCTAAAATAAATCATTGTGGTGACTGATCACACTCCTGTTGAGGACACTGTCCAGTTAAAAGAACAAATGGAGATTGGTCTTTGAAAGACTACTTTTGACAGAATACTGCCAGTACTAGTAAAAATAGATGTCTTGTTCTCTGAGTTTGCAGAATGTCAATTCTTTTGGGGAAGAAGTTCAAGCTTTTAAATGTAAGAGAGGACAGCCATGCATATGCACACTGAGATAGGTAACGCTTGGTGGCTATAGGTGTGCAAGGAAAAGCAAAGACCTTTTTGTGCATTTTGTCTCATCTGTGTGCCGGGATTTCTGGCCCTTGTTCGTTCTCTGAATCGCTGCTTTAATGGCACCATATATTTAATTCCAATTGAATTGGTATGGTTTTGCGGAATTAATTTCTTTCAAATAGAGGAGTTGTTTTTATTCTCAGGGTGGGGGGAAAAGAGTTTGGTTTTTTTTTCCTTTTTTAGACTGCTAATAGGTTACCGGTGGTTTTCCTCTTTGCTAGTTCAAAAGTAAATGAAGCTTTGTAAAAATACATAGAAGTTTTTGAAGACTCATATTTAGATAACAATAATGCCTGCAGATCACAGCTGAAGTTAAGGCCCTAGAGCATCTCACACAGAATGTCTGTATGAGAGCAGTGTTATGGTAATCATCTCCCCTGACTGCTTATAATACAGACTTCCCAGTTATGTAGATTGCTTTGGAGAACTTAAGAAAAAGGGGGCAGGGTGTGTGTATGTGTGAACTTGTTCTTAATTGTAAGTTTCTGTTACAGTTTGGGGGCAGGGGGGAGAACAATGACAAAACATCATCTTCCTTTAGGTGGAAAGTAAAATATTTTCATCTCAATCAGAGGTGTAATGCCTTTGTTTTTTTTACCCCAAAGGTAACACATTTCCAAAGAAGTATAGCAGCTTTAATTGACATGAGGATTTAAACTGTGGAAGCATTATCCATGGTGCATCATGACATGGATTTTGGCCAGGGAGCCAAACCCTATGAGAAGAACGGGAGCAGAAGTAGTTTGATCTACAGATCCCGGGAGGCACAGTGTTGCCATTTTGAATAAATAGTCTCAGTTTTCAGCTGAAATATTTTCATTTTCAGATACTTGTTTTTGTTGGCAAAATACTTTATATTTTGTATGAATAGCAATCTATTTATACAAGCAGGTTTTTTAGTTGCTAATCCTGTTAACCGTTAAAAATTACTTAGGCAGAATTTTACAGCCAACTGTTGTGTGAACTCAGAGGGATTCTGAGCCCAGAGCAAACTAGTACAGCTGCCAGTCCTGCCTTCAGGGGGAAAGTATCTCAACAGGTTTTTTGGTGAATTTACCAGGCTGGGTAAGTGGGTGGGTCTGGCTAAGGAGCTGCATTCGGAAATGGGTACATGTGTTGGCTTTTCCAATGTTCTAGTATGTATCCTGTATGATCCTTACTATGGTAAGTAATCCAGTACTTTAGGACAATACTCCCTTATCTTAGCATTTCAGTAATGAAATTAAGAGTGCACAATAGATTGCTGAATTCCTCCTCCTGGAGGAATTCCTCCTCTGCTGTGTAGATGAGTATGCTGTTGATGCACTGGTTAAGAATATGCTTGAACTTTACTCACTCACAGCTGTGTAACAGTGACTATCTCTCCCTTCCCTTTCTTCCCCTCCTGCTTCTCCAGGACTCAGACGGGATCAATCTGTACTACTGGTCTCTGTTTGATGGACACGCTGGGTCTGGGGCAGCTGTGGTTGCTTCCAAACTCCTACAGCACCATATCCTGGAGCAGCTGCAGGAGATTGTAGACATCCTGAGGAACACAGCTGTCCTCCCACCCACCTGCCTAGGAGAGGAGCCTGATAACCCAGCCACCAACAGTAGGACGCTGACACGGGCGGCCTCCCTGCGTGGTGGTGTGGGGGCCCCAGGCTCGCCCAGCACCCCTCCAACACGCTTCTTCACTGAGAAGAAGATCCCACACGAGTGCCTGGTTATTGGGGCCATAGAAAGTGCATTCAAGGAAATGGTATGTACATCTCAGGGCTCTGAAGTCCTTGTTGCTTACATTAATGAGTTACATGACCTGGAGAAGATGAAGATTTAGAGGGGTTCTCTTTCACTTTTTTTTCCCCTTTCGCTACTTTAACACTATCTGAATGTGGACAGAACTATCTAAGAGCCTCAAGCTTACCAGGTGCATCCCTGTGAGGCAGAAAGTGCACCTTAAGTCCCAGGTAGCACTACAGCAATGTTTATGGATTACTTGTGTTGCCTAAAATTGGGAGAAAAAACTCACCAGGCAAATTTAGTATAGATAAGATATAGAGCAGCTCTTTTAATGAAGGCCTTCTAGCTCACGGAGTACAAAGGTGCATGCCCACATACAGAATCCTTACACTTTTATATCCCTTACGAAGTATCATATCTAATGGGGACATCCAATCCTAAGAGCCCTTTTGCCAGGGTACCGCCCTCAGAACTGCCTCACTGGAGTCCCTCCAAGTGTCTTGAGCTTTCTATCTTGTTTTATCTACCATATCTCTTGTTATTCTGGTCCAGGTGCACATCCCAAAGGAATATCCTTGCAAAAAATCTATTACTTTGAAAAGATGGTTAAAAGACGTTTAAACCGAAGCTGCAGGATTGTGCCACACAAACTGAGAAAGTAATGGTCGAAAGTGAAAGAAAACTACAGCTACATTAAAATCTGCAAAAGGCTAAAAAATCTTAAAAATTCTAAGGCATCAGTTGACTTTTAGAAGCATGATGCTCTTCTTTTCTCTTTTTTATTCTCCCCCTCCTTTCTTAACATAAAGATTAGCATTGCCTTACAGTAGCAGATTTCAGCATTGGCTGCTATTATCAGGCTGAGTATATGGGTATGCACTTTACAAAGCCTTGTTGCCCAAGCAGTAGCAAAGACTCTTGGCACTTGTTGCCCAAAACATAAATGGGACATAAATGGTCACATCAGGGACATGGATAAGGGGCAGCCTCCTTGGTCCAATGACCTGTAGTTCATGTTAGTGTTGGACTGTCTCATAAAGCACAGCAGTGCCTGTACAGTGTGTGCAGCTCTTCACTGAGGCAGGTTGGGTGTGGGTGAGTGGGGCATGAAGTACATTTCTACCACCCACTTGAGTTATGTACAGCATGAACAACTGTGAGGAAATCATGAGGCTATGGAAACTGAATATCCATCTATTTCTCTGTGGAAGCTGTTTTTTCTATTTTGTAATTGATGTAGCTCCTCCACATCTTCCCTCTTCAGTTCTCCACATTATTAAAAATTGTTATTGCCAGGCTGTTCAGAGGTTTGGCCCACCAGTGAGTACATGGGGATCAGGTCTTGGGAGATGTGATCTTGTTCTTTTTTCAAAATTTTGTTACCGTAGTTTTCAGAAAAGCTCCTTATTTGAAAAGAAGATTTTTGAACCAATCAGTGTTTCCCAGACTGTTTAGTCTAAGGAAGACAGAGGAGATCTCATTAATGCATATAAATATCTCAAGGTCCCAAGAGTGGTGTCTTTTCTGTGGTGCCCAGTGACTCGATGAGAAGCAATGGCCATAAACTAAAACTCAAGAAGTTTCACCTCAACATGAAGAAGAACTTCTTTACATTGATAGTGGTAGAGCACTGGAACAGGCTGCCCAGGGAGGTCGTGGAGTCTCCTTCTCTGGAGACGTTCAAAACCATCCTGGGTGCATTTCTGTGTAACCTGCTTTAGGTGACCCTGCCTTGGAAGGAAGGGTGGACTAGATGATATCCAGAGGCCCCTTCCAAACCCTAATAATTCTGTGATTCGGTGAAAATCAGTTATTTTAGTTGTTGCAGTATACTAACTTGTTGCAATGACGGTACTGCAATACGAATGCACCTAGGTCTGTTTTCAAGGTCCTGCATATCTAACCCTCACAGGAGTCGGCCCACACTTCGGTGCCGCCGCACTCGCTGTGCTCCCTCTGTCTCCCCTCGCCGCGCACACGTCCCGCCTGGCTCGGCCGGCGCGCGGGGAGCTCCCGGCGCGCGGGGCGGGAAGGGCGGGAGGAGGAGCCGCGGCGCCGCAGTGGAGCCTCCGCCAGGTGGCAGGAGCCGGCCGTCCTGGGGCCCGGAGCCTCCGGCACGGGGCGGCGGCGGCGTCGCGCGGCTTTTTCGGGAAAGGTGGTTATCACCTGCGCAAGCCGTGCGCCCTCTCAGGGGAGCCCGGGACCGGGCCTTGGCCTGTCCCAGGGCTTTCTCGGTGCAGAAAGCCGCCCTGCCCGCCCTCACCTGCGCGGTACGTCGCCATGTACTCTGCAGCTGTGCTCCGTCCTCCTGCATCCCACATCCTGCATCCTGCGCCCAGGGAAGTGAGACCAGGCCTGGGTCAACCCTTGTGGGCACCCCGCTTCTGCCACCTGCTACAGCACACATCCTGGCACGGAGGGCAGAGCTCAGACTAAATTATCTGTTTCCGTGGCAAAAACTTGCTCTGAAATTTTTTTCCATCTGGAAAATGAGGAAAGCTTTGTATACAGTCTGATTTTGTCTATAATGAGACCCTTTACACTCGTAAAGACTGCAGAGGCATTTTGGAGTTTCTGCCTGTGTCTGTGCTGCTCTACTTTCCCAGCGTCACTTTTATAAAGTATTTCATTAAAAGCCAATGTCTCTACATCAGAATGAGTTGGTGGTATTAGTGGACTTTATTTTATTTTGCTTTATTTTTCCCCCTCAAATCTTGTTGAGCTGTAGGAAGGCCTTTCCTTCTTTCCCTACCCCTGAAAAAGAAAATGTCAAGCAAAGAATGTAATATCAAATTAAACATGGCACTGAATGTACTCTGACAAGTCATGGTAGAAAATTTGAGTTCTGAACAACAAGTAGATAGAAGAGCCCAGGAACAGAAATGATTTGAGAAAAACTAGATCTGTGTACTGGATTAAGTCAAGGAAATTCTGATAATGAGGCCCTAACAGTTATCCATCTTCTCTCCTATAATAGATGCTTCTGAATTCTGCTTATTGAAAGAAACAAATTTTAGTTTAGGATTCCAGCACTTGCAAAGTGTATGTATGACAGCTGAAACCGGGTGAGGTACTGCATATTGTTTGAAGGTCTCAGAGGATACTCTGAGTTGTAGAGGTGAAGGTTTCTTAAAATTCCTGGCAGTGCCTGAAAAATCCACTGTAATAAGTTTAAATTATTTTGGTGGTTAGAAATGTCTGCTTTCTTTGAACTCTTCAGCTGAATTAAAAAGTGTAGAGCAACCACGGGTAGGAAAATCAGCTTCTCTATGGCAAGATTAGATGAAGAGTCATTTATAACAGGCCCATATCTCTGACCAGAGGTTTTATGAGAGTTGATTTTTAGCTTGGAGTTGTTTTCCTCCTGGTCCTCACCACCACCCCCCGCACCGCCACATCCAAGATAAGTGCAGGTGTTCAGAGGCAGCATTAGAACCCGTGTCTCTGTGGCAGCCACATGCAGTTCCCATGCAGAGCAGAGGATGGCCTGCAAGGACAGCGCCTCAGCACTGTGTTTTTGGCAGAAATGGGATGTGCGTACACCAGCCAGCGAGGAGTCACGTTACACCTCTGCCCACCCACGCCGGACAGTGGCTGAGCACTGCTGAACATCCCCACTGCCGCCCCAGGTCACCTACCTCCCCTGAAATTTGTAGGAAACAAAGCATTGGACAATGACCTCCTCCCAGCCCTGCAGATTTTTGATCAAATTGCTGCTGTCAAGGTTTGCATTTGTTGTAGTGCTTTTCTTCAGATAAATTTAGCTCTAAAATAAAGCTCTAAATTCCATACCCCAAGGCGAGGACAATTTGAACTCTCTGTTGCTCAGTGCAAATATGATAATGACTGAAGTATAGCTCTGGCTATATGCACACATACAGAGGCAAACAAATATATTCATAAATAAAACCCACATAAAAGCAGGCAGGGAATAGCTGGAAAAATCTTCCAGTATTTGCAATAGTGATGTTAAATGATGCTCCCTGTTCAAATCCAATATTACAAGGACAGACCAGCTTGAAATTGTGCTTGATTCTGGACACAGGAGAGGAGGGTCGTTTGTAACATGTTGTGATATTACCCCAAACTAAACTAAAAGACAGCAGAATTAATTAATTGGTGTACACTTCAATTTTTGTTTAAAATGTATGGATGATTGGAAAGTAGCTCATTTACTTATGTCCTTTATGTTCTCCAAGCTTTCTTGGAGACTATATATATTTGTATGTACATATTTATGTGTTTTTTCATTCCAGGACTTGGTTGACTGTTGGTGACAAATGTGATTTGTGTTCTCCACTTCTGTTAAGCAGGAGGACGTTTTTATATATAATACTTCTTGCACTCAGAATCAGTTTAGCATCCACTCATTCCCTGTGTTTCTGAAGGGATAGCCTGGTGGCATGACTGTCTCTTGCTGCTGTTCCTAAAGGTATATACTCCACAATTCTAACATTCCTTTAAGGAAGCAGGTAGTTATTCATGTCATGGCTAGGTCTCATTAATTATTTGCTGTCTATGTAAAGCACTCTCCAATTATACCACCAGGTACCTGTTGTTAAGCTACATTTATCTTTGCCTTCTTTGTGCTTTTGCTGTAGCAAATTCTCTTGCATCCCTGAGAGTTGCTATTTGTTCCTTAGTACCTAATGTTTTAAAAGCTCCTGACCTGATTTTTCCCAAACATCTTTGTATCATAAATAATAGGTCCTCAACTTTCCGTTCTTCTCCCAGACCATGTGGCCACAGCGGCAAGAAAAGAAAGTTAGTGGGACATACCATTTAAGAAAGACTTTTTGTATTTTCCTTTTTTTAGGGGAGTCTTCATTTTCTCAAACATTAATTGCAATGTGTCTTTATAAATCTTGTTCTCTTTTCCCACAGGATTTGCAAATAGAACGAGAGAGGACCGTGTATAATATTTCTGGTGGCTGCACAGCCCTTGTGGTGGTGTATTTATTGGGGAAACTGTATGTGGCAAACGCTGGTGATAGCAGGTAAGTGGGGTGTCTTCCCAATTAGTCATTCACCTCAGGCTCCTGAGATCTGGTGTTACCATTGCAAACAGTATCACAAGGGGATTCTGTTTCTTGGCTGAACACTTAACAGTTCTCACAGAAGTGAATGCAAATGGCAGTGATAGAGTTGGTATCTTGTCAAGTGGTGGTTGCAGCCAGGGAAGTTGACAACACTTCTGGTCCCGTAGCAGTTTCTGAATGACTTGATCGTTGCAGAGAAGTGGAAAGATACTAAAAAGCCATTGAGAAGAGTTGTTGGGTGTGTAGTAGAATTGTGTGTTTAACTCTGACAAGATGACTGCATCTGGAACAGCTATGGTAGGGCTGCATTTGTTCGGTAGGAAGTTCTGTGGCTCCTGTTGCCAGGCTTAGTCTTCACAGGCCACTTGGCTCTCAGATATTCATATAGATGAAGGTAGTGATCTGTAAGCAAATACCTGCTGCTTTTGTAATGGGGGAGGAGGAGAGGGAGATAGACTATCACAGTTTAGGTTTTTTATTTTGTGCTGGCTCATGTACTTGTCCATTTCTCAGAACTGAATGTTGTTCATGAGCTCTTGCTTTTTTATATTTTGAAGTTTGATGCCTGAAGACTCACAACAAGAAGCTTTTTCTTTGTCTTCTGATGTCGCTAAAGATAGGACCATACTGGAAATCTCTGACTTGCATTCTTTTCACCTCACTCACTTTCTGCCCATACTACCATCAGAGAGAGATAATGAGGCTCTTGCAAGACTTCAGATCTTCACGTTTCTTTTGGCAGCACACTGTGTAAATAGGACAGGGAGAATAGTTCCCCATGTGATACAAACTGCTGTTGTATTCTGTTCACTAACAGCTTAATAATTGAAGTCTGCAAAGGTACTGAACCATGCTGTCTTTAGGTGAAAGCTGTTATGTTTATGCATTTGTGTTTAAGATTTGTGCACACACAGTTCATATTAGTAGTATGTACACCTATGTACTTACAGAGACAACACTCAAGAGCAAAGAGTTTTGTAGTTTAAACTTAACATTTTTATTGCCTCTCGCTGCTTTAAACTGTGTAGGAAATCAGATAAATACTTTGGGCATAAAATTCCTATTCTTTTCATTTTGGTGATTGTTTTTAAGATGGTAAATTTACTGTATATGTTGAAAGTTGTTTGCTCAGTTCCTCTTGTCAAGTGACATATTGGAATCTCCTTTTTGCATCAAATATCAAGTGAGTCCTGACATGGTAGCTGCAAACATGTTTGAGGTGATCACCCATCCAGTCATCAGAACCACTAGCTGCACTACATCTATCTCTTCTGCCATTAAATTAGAAATAATAATGTTTTCTTGTGCTATTGCACTTGAAATACAGTTGTATCTCTTCCTTCAAGCTGGCTAATTTGCTTTACTGTCTCTTAAAAGCGTGCTGTTGTCATGGTTTGAGAGCCTCAAAATCCAATTCCCTAGTCCAAACCCCCTCCCGCATCTCAGCCAAGTGTGGATGGTTTTCCAGATACCACACGAGACTCAAATGGGGGAAAGGGAATATATTACAATGACTGTACAAATAAATACTACAATACATTATATACGATCTTAATTATCTCTACCATGACATAAGTATTTACAATGGATCAAATCTCTTCTCCCCTCCAAATAAAAGTCCAGGAGGGAAGAAGGAAAAGATCCCTTTCTACTCTCAGAGCAGCAATGGCTCTAAGGCAGCAGGTTCTCTGTCTCTCTCTTCCATGCAGCAGCTGTAGCTGGATCTCTGCCAGTACACACGAGGAGGTATCCAAGCCCCTCTCGGCTGCTTGTCTCCAAGCAAGGGTCTTATCTTCCATAGGTTGTATTCACCAGGACAAGGGTCACTTCACTACGTCATATCACGAAGCTCAGGGGTCTTCGTGATGGTCCCTATCTTCAGGGGATTCAAGTTCCCCTACAGAGCTCTGTGCTCTGTCTCAAGCAGTGGGGGGGCCGAGGTCACCCCCTCCGCATTCCTTCTGAGCTTTACTGCTCTTTTCTGCAGTGCTGCTGCAGTTTTAGGACTTCCATTCAGTAGGAGTCCATCCTTTCCACTTAGGAAAGGTCACAAAAGGAGTTTGGGGGTTTTTTGGTTCAGTTTCTTACCCCAACTCTGTCTCTGTAGAGCTTAGTTGTGCTCTCTCTGCTGCTGGCTCTCTCTCGGCTCTCTCAGGCAACTCTGTCTTCCTTGCTCAGCTGCATGTATGTTTCTGCTGCTTCTCCAGTTCAGTTCTTATCTGTTGGCTTTCAGCCATAGCCTCTGTTCACTGCTGTCTCTGCTGCTGCTCCTGCTGCTCACGGTGGAGGGAAAAAAAACTTCCAGCTTCTCAGTCACAGACCTCAGTCCAGTTTAATACTGTTTCTGAGTTTCTGTGACCCCAGCCGGGGCTGGGGGAGCCGGAGCCCCCCAGAGGGGCTCCTGCCCCTTCTGCTCGTGGCTTTCACAACATGGCTACTTCTTCTACCACACAACTACAACTACCTTCTCTTCCGTTCTGCTTATGATATGTTTATATTTTGCAGAAGTGCTCATTGGGTAAAACCTCAAAACTTCAAGGGTCAACACCCCCTGGGGTTTTACCATTTTATAACTTCAGGGGGAAAACTGTTTCCCCTCATCACAGCTGTGCAAAACTGGCCATGCAGGACTTACTTCTCAGTAGCTAAGATCTTTGTTCATAAATAACTGGGACTGGCTGCTTCCAGTTCCTCCAGAATTCTTCCTATGCTCCCCAAGGGCAACCTCAGCTCCGTTGTAGTCTCTGATACCCAAGGGGAAGAAACTCTTGTTGACAGTGATCTGGAGTTGGTGCCAGTGTATTGGCTGGCATAGCTGTAGTTAAAGACACTAAGTCTTCAAGAAGCTTTGTAGGTTCATTAAGTCCATCCAAAACATCTCTTCAGAAAAAGAGCAGGAATCAGAAAGGAAGCCATCAGAAAGGCTGGGTGTTGTTTGAACCAGGATTCAAATTTTTCAATCATTCCTCACATCTTGTAGATAATAGAGTCCCTCCAGATCCAAAATCATTTAGTTTTGCACTTTCCAAATGGACCTCATATAAAATCTTTCTCATGCTGAGGAGAATTGTCCCAAAATCTTTCATTTTCAAATAAGTCCATTCCTCGATTTTCCTAGCTCAAAACAAAATAAAAGCTTTAAAGTGCAGAAGATCAGTTAGTCTGGCTCTCACTCCCACGAAATCCTCACTTACCCTCTTTCAGGGAAAAAAGCGGCTATTGCAAAACATCCAAGTTGCTGTCATGACTAGGGACATTTTAGGACTAGAAAAGAAGCTCTGAGATTGTCTGCCCATTGCCAGGGTGCACAGTGCATTCATGCATTTTGAAGAGCCAGTTATATAGTCAAGAAGTTTTATTTGTGTTAGTTGGAAAAATATGTTCCTTTTTGCTGTCTCATGCCTTGTGTGTCAGCTTTGTGGTTTGCACAGATACAGGGAAGGGCGGTGAGAAATACAATAAGGAAACTACTTAAAGAAATGTTTTACTGCTCTTGAGAAGAAGGGTGGGTTTGTTTTTTCACTCAAACAGGGGACTTCTGCTTGTTGCTGTTGAAACTAGATGCCAAAACCCTTAGTACTTTAGTTTCTTTGAGTTCACCTTCTTATTGTGGCTCTCCCCTCTCCTCATTCTCCTTCTTTCTTCTCTGCTACACCACTGGAAAAAGCATGTAAATAAATCGAGTTACAATTCTCACAGATAGTGAGAGTAGGTTTTATGCTGCAAGGGTGGGAAATAAACACTTTGGGTTCATGCAAATCTCATTTGTACTACCTCTCCCCAGAAGGTTAGGTCTTTTAATTTCACGCAACTTAAAAACAGCAGAAGCTTTTAAAGTTGGGTTTTGAACAGCTGCTTCTGTCAGAAGACCAAGGTATGTGCAGCAAACTGTACTATCACAATGAAACTAAGGAAATGTTAAGTGTGAGACTTGAATAGTAATGTACTGTGTGGTGCCAGCTATACCTCAGACTTATGTCTGTGGTATTCAGTTTATCCACCAAAGCTTCTCAAATCTAATCATTTCATGCCACGTACCCTGGCAGTGTTGTATAGCAGCTGTCCTTTTGTAGTTGATGTGTAATTACATCATGAAAAGACTTTAATTACCATATTACTAAATTACCAGCCAGCAATCCTTTCAGGTTCAACCCTAGCTCGCTTCTGTATGGACTATTAGGCTTCTCCAAGCTGAACACTTTTGGTTGGTGTAAAAGGGAGCAAAAATTGTTCTAATTGTAGGTTTTGTTATGAACTATTATTGAGCCTGATGTTATGGCATCACTAATGTCAATGATATAATTAAACTTCCTCTAACGATGCAATCACAGTTCCGTAATAATTATACGTTAACTTGCACATGATACCAGAACCTTACTAAAAATGAGGTGATGTATTCAGAGCCTGATAAAAACAACGTGGAAGGAGCCGCTTTCATTGTCTAATGGCTTGTCTGATCATTCTTTGACTCTGCCATGAATATACCTTCTTGTACGGTCAAAATTCATATCTGAATATCAGCCAAAGCTTTTTCTAATGTTTCTTTCTCTCTCTTCTTTTCAGTGATTAGCATTGTCCATGCAAAGTTTTCTGATTAGAGACTGATAGTAGTATAGTCAGCTATCCAATATATAGTGCTTTTCTGGTGAGCATTGAGGTGCTGTGTTTTGCTTTGACATATATATGCTATGGAAACTAGGCCAGGCTATTGGAATAGCTACTTTTTTTTAATATGGAATAGTAAATCTTCTCTGATCATTGTTTTAAATAGTATTGTTCAATTTTATATTGCTGAAGTGACTTTGACTTCTAAACTGCTGTAATACGCCTTGTTAATCTCAGTTCTTTTTAGTTTTATGCTCCTTATTAGGATGTTGTTTTATAGCTAGTGATGAAGCAGTAGTAAAATAGAGACCTAATGGTTTACTGATTACAACCAAATTATTGTATAGCCTCAT